AGTATATAAATTATTTGGATTATATATTTATATTTTAATTGATATTGACTGAAAAATATGTATAAAATAATGTATCCAAAGAATATTGTTATTCCCAGTAAATTTATATCCAATTAGTAACTACTCTTACTATAATTGTTTGTAGACCAACCAACATTTAATATTAAATGGTCATATCCATATCCGTGTAATCCTTTTATTGCTCGTTCAGCATCCATTTTGGATTTGAAATTAACAAATGCATATCCTTTACAAGCACCAGTGACCTTATTAGATGCCAAGAAAATTCGAGCAACTTGACCAAATTTGTTCACTAATTCACTTAAATCAGCTTCAGATGTACTTTCAGAAAGATTTTCTATGCGGATAGCAGGTACCTCATCATAACCACGTGAGTATGGATCTCGTTTACCAGCTGTGTTTGTGGCTCCTTCTCTTGCTGATGGGGGAATGTATGGTCTAAAACAAAACATTAGTTTAGGAATACAATATTTTGTATAGTTGTAAACCACAATAATTTTAAGAGGATTCTACAATAATGTGGGGAATTATTTGTCTTGAATACATGTAATACATCACTAATCTATATTCCTCAATACTGATAAGATTTTGTTAATTTTTAACATTTTAGAACAAATAACTATTGAAAAAAATATAAATAATAGAACCAAAATAATTGTAGTAAAAATGTAAAATGTAAATGTACTTTAAAAAAAACTCCATAACTGAGCATGAAAAATAGTTCTATTTGTAAGTTAAACAATAATAATAAAAATATCTAAAGAAACAGAACTGAAAACATTATATGGTGCAAATTAATACTAATAATATGATGGTATTTGTTTAAGATATTATTATGCAAAACAAATTTGGGTATTAGATGATTAYATACACATACATAAATTAAAATTTTAGAAAATGAAAAAACATTGTATTTATACCTGTTGGTACTGGTATTTTTTTCAGGCTCCGGTATCTTTTCTTKAACCAGTTTCTTATCTTCAATTACCAAACCGGTACCTTTGAGATGACATGAAAACGACCAATGTTCTCCRCCACAATTTCGGCATTTTATATTCATGTTCACATTCTTTAATTTGTCTAATGGGTTTTCTTCGACCTTGTCGCCATCCTTACCGGATAAGAATTGCATCTGTATTTCTTCGGACGGAATCGTAGTTGAAGTATTTGGTCCTGGTTTATCGTTACGTGAATCTCCAAATTTAGCCCATGTCTTGCGCTCAGCTATAGTTTTGGACACTAGTCGTTTTTCAATTTTATACGTACGGACTACCTTTTCTTTTTTGTCATCCTTKTTCCAACGATATTCAGTTATAACTTTGGTATTTCCGTGTACATCAACTTTTGGTTGTGGCAATGTGGTTTTTTCCAAATGCTCTTCAACTTCATCCGCCCAACTGGATTTTATCAGATCCTTATTATGCATCTTTACACCTTTACAAAAAATAAGTATTACACGTTTATATTTTATTGATAATCAAAATATGTCACCTACCTAGTTGATTCCCACGGGAAGACTATACAAACAAAATCGTGAAGTATTCGAGATTCGTTCTGTTTCCGCTAATTTGTAAATAAGTTTTTCAGGACGTTACTCAAGACTCAACGTAAGCACTAAACAGTCTGTATCCACCGTAACAGGCAACAGCGTTGAACCTCAGCACGGTGGCAAGGAGAAAAGAGTAGACTAGAGTAAGTTGTAGAGAAGGTTAATTTATAATAAACAATGATAACACAATATCGCGCGACACAATATGAGATTTAAAGGTTATGTTATGATATATTATTATGATACAAAAATATGAAGTATGGTTCGATATAATATTTTTCAATCATAATCGATATAAGAAAATATTACAATTTAGTGCATTAGTGTGTGTGATTGTCGTTGTCTTAATATGTTAAAATATGAACCACAATATTATTGTGAAGTTCTTTAACATAACAAAATAAAATAAGGTCAAGATTACAATGATGTTCAAGATAACGTTAGATGTACATTATATAGCCTATCTACATCGCCGTGTAATGTTTTGTTTAAAAACATTTACAAGGTAACACCGTCTCACATAATTATTAATAATATCTTTTTCTTCATATGAATTGCATTTGTACATTGTACGACCGATAATTTGAATTTAATACTTTTATGCATATCATTTACAAAATCTAAAATTCAATATTATATTTTAATAGCATCATCGTAATTCGTAATTCATAGTGGTTAAATGTGATTTTTTTTTT